CCGCCCCCCAGCGTCTCCTTGTGCCGCAGCTCCTTGCGCAGCTCCAGGTTGTCCTTCTCCTTCTCCTGCAGCTGGGCCTCCATCGCCCGGCACTTCTCCTCCAGCTCCCGGTCCAGGACATCTGCGGGGACAAGGCGCAGGAGGGGGTCAGGGGCGGCGGGGGGGATCTCAGCCCTGCGCGGCAGCCTCAGCCCGTTGGCATCCCCGCGCTCCCGACGTGCTGGCGTGTCCCAGCAGTGCCATCAAGGCTGCTCGGGCGCCGTTGGGAGCTTGGGGCTCCAAAGCCCCCCCGTGAGCCGCACCACTTCTGCGCACCAGACAAGGTGCCCCCATGCCCTGGAGGGGCAGGGCTGGCCCGGCCAGGAGCCCCGTGTGCCGGGGGGCTCCCTGGGGGCCTGCAGTCCTCTGCGGCTGGTGGCCTTGCACTTGGGCCTGCAAAACTGCCTTGGAGGTGATGCATTGGGAAGGAGGAGACTGGCAGCCAGATTTCACCTCCTCTCCACACCTCCTCCGGGCGGGAGGGAGTAGGGGGGCAGGGGCTCAAAATGCTCTTGCCCTCAGCCAAAAAGCATTGCCATCTCCAAAAGGAAAGGCATGCTGCTCCTGCAGGGCTCTCACGGGACCCCGGGGACCCGGCCTGGGCACAAATTTCCATTTGCGGCCGCTGTGAGCTCATGAGCGGATGCATTCCCCATGCTCAGTCCTGGGAGGTGTTTGGGGGACGGGGCCACCCCGGGAGGGGGCACATCCCACCCGTGGGTTCGAGGTGGCAGCTGGAGCAGCCAGTGTGGGGGACTCGCACCCTCGCGGTGAAGGGGCCGAGCTCAGCCGGCAGCCGGAGGGAGGGCTGGACTGTGGGGCCGCGCCGTGAGCCTGGTGCAGGGTCGCGGCGGGCTGGACCACTGGACCTCCCTGCCCGTGGCCAGACTCGTGCCCCGGGTAGCCCTGGCTGCGAGCCCCTGCACCCAGCCCTTGGTGGGGCGCAGGGAGGGGAGCGAACGCTCCCCGCCGAGGCTGGCACCCGCCTGCGCTCAGCCCTGCCTGCCCGGGCCTGCTCCCATTGTCTGCAATAATCTCTGCTTTTAATGATACGATTTGCAACCGCTTTATAGCCTCAGCTCCTAAGTGTCTTCTGCAGAGGAAAAATGCTTCATAATGAGATCTTAAGGGAGGCAGTTGCACGCAGTAATTATTACGAGTGGCATTTGAAGAGCAATCATTTGATGGCATCTTAAATTAGGTGGTTGCCCCATAAACGCGGCAAACGTGATCCTACTCCTCGTAAGCTGTTAAAAGGCTGAAGGATGGGCAGAGACCTGTGGGTGGCATTCACTGCAAATTATGGTCTGTGAAGTGCCGATGGCACCCAGAGGGCTGGACGCGAGGCCCTCCTGCGAGCAGCGAGCCCTCCTGCACAGGGAAGGGACCCCGGGCTCGGAGGGGGGGTGTGAGCTGGAAATGGGGGTCAGCCAGGGGCTGCGATGGGCTGAGAGGGGCTGAGTGTGCGCTGCCCGCTGCACTCCCCCTTCCTGGGCACGGCCCCGCGGCCGGGAGCCCCACATCCCCCGGGAGCCGGCCACGGTGCTGCCAAGGGACAAGAACCCCGACAGCCCCGCTGAGAGTGGCCCTGTGACCCCCCTGGCACGGCCAGCCCTGGCTCTGAGGATGAAGCGCAGGCTGGGTCTCGGTGCCAGGGACCGTGCCTGGGCAGCGCCACGGAGGAGTTTCAGCTTCACCCCTGGGGTGGAGGAAGAAGAGGAGCCAGGCGGCTCACAGAGCATCCTCTGCCATCCACGGGCACCCGGGCACCAGCCGCCTGCCGCTGCCTGCCCCGGGGGCTGTGGGGGGCGGGGACGTGTCACCCAGAGCCGTGTGGTGGCATTTGCTGGCCTGCGGTAGCAGTGTGGCAAGGGCGGTCTCAGCCTGTGGCACCTCGGGACAGAGGCAAGGCCAGGCAGGACGGAGCCCAAAGGGACACCCCGGGGACACGGGCATGCACCCGCTCCCTGCCGGGCTGTGGACAGAGCAGGGCAATGGCCTCGACCAGGCGGGCGGTGGGAGCCCTGGGGCACCGCAGCCCGTGGGCCTCGCTGGCCACAGTCCAGCGCCCAGAGAGTTGCCCAAGGCATCCCGCTCGGGCGCCCGGCTGGCCGGA